CTATGCCAACATGGTATTTAGCAGGAGCTAATGCTAGAGCTGTGCTAATCCTTACGTATTGGTCGTAAACATTAGTCCTTCTCCTGGTTATCTCAGGTTTGGTTCACCTGTCGGTTTGTGACGACGACCCAGCAAAACCAGTCCAACCCACTGGTCCCAGTCAGAGCCCCGACCACAGACCTGTCGTCTCCTTTCTCAAAGTCACTGACTTGGACAGCACTTCTCCCGAGGAAACAGACCAACTGGAAACCAGTAAGTCCTCCAGTTCCTTTTATCTGGACCAGGGAACTGACCTCATGTGTATTTAATTATGTTAAATTTAAACTTTTTGTTGTAAATGTTTGTTTTCAGTGGAGTTGAGTCAGAACAAACCGGACCGTCCAAACTGCTATAAGCACTTCATTCCCCGTTTGAAGACCTCGTCTCTGGATCAGGTAGTTATTGATTCAGGATCAGCTGCAGTTTGTAACTTTTATAAAAAACAGGAAAGTTTTTTACATATTTGTTGAAACTGTCACCATGTTGTTACAGTTTAATACGAGACAGATAATCTGTGAAAAGATCGATCTCCTCCCCGTCTCCCTGAGCTGCTACAGCTGAGCTGTTTTTGGTCGAAACACGTCGACCAAAAACAGCTTATCAGAGCCAAGAGGAGGGGCTTAGCATCGTCAATCAACCTCAGGAAAGTGCTGCCAAATGTGCTAGTAACTTACAGTTACAGGAAAACTGTTTACCCGCCGTTACCGGTGGCTATGCTAACTAGCCTTAGCATTCATGACACGCTATGCTAGCAGAGAGCAAGGGGGACTGAGAAGCTGCTCTGAGGGGTGATTGACAGCGCTAAGACCCGCCTCCTGGCTCTGATTGGTTGTTTCTTGTTAGCACTGGGAGAAGGAGCCTGATCTTTTTCAAATTGTCTGTCTCAAGCCAAACTGTAACGACATGGTGACAGTTTCAACAAACGTGAAAAGAAAATATTTTTAATGAAAGTTAAATGCTTTAGAAAATAACAGATTTAACTTATTTTGCTAATTCAGTCGGTTTCAGCTTCTCGACCTCAAGATGAAGGCCTAAAGCTGAAAGCAGTGATTGGCTACAACGGCAACGGCCGAGGCAACATGGGCTGGAGCCCCGATCAAGGTCAGATTGGGATTTACCTTCATCTGACAAACTCTAATTCATGAAACCATGAACTCTGATTATGGCTACATTGTTCATTTAACTTAAAGGGACGGTAGTCTCTAAATGTGACCCTTTTTTTACTTTCCATCATGTTTTAATATTTTTCCTTCATCAAAACCTGCATTGTTGCTTTGTTTCCTTCATGCATGTTTGAGAAATCCTTTAATTTACATGGCAACCATTCAGCTGTTAAAACGCCTGGGTGGACCTAGCCCCGCCTTCCAGCTGCAGCTCCTCCCACTCTCAGCTCCTGCAGACTAGCCAGCAGCAATTAGCAACCAGCTGCTCAGCTCATTATAGGAGCTGCTGCTCAGAGAAACGCTGGTAAAAACCTTAAAGGGTTAATAGAGGAGCCATGTTGGGACGACTTCCTGGAGGCGGAGCTTCAGGAAGAGCCAGAGTTCTTAAAGAGACAGACGCCCAATTTTAAGGTGTTAAATCAGGAAGTAACATTTCTTTTAAGTCACATTTGTTATATGTAGTGATTTCATAACAACTGAAGGTAACATAAACTCTTGATTGTGCTATAAAATGTTACCTAGTAAACACACGGTACCGCCCCTTTAAGATGAAAATGTCTGTGATTCTGTGCTGCAGGTTTGTTTGCGTACTCTTGTGGCGCCGTGGTGGTGCTGGAGCATCTCCACACGGGAACCCAGAGTCACCTGCAGGGCCACAGCGAGGAAATCTCCTGCCTGGCCATCTCTAATGACGCTCAGGTGCTTCTGGGTTTTATCCAGATGCTCAATGTTCAGGTTTCAAAATGCTGAGGGCTGAAACGATTAATCAATCATTGAAATAATCGTCAACTAATTTTGACACCGATTAATCGTTAACTGAAGTATTCAGACTCTTAAAAGGCCAATTTCCGAAAAACAACATAATTTAGAGCAGTAATGATATAAAATGCTTATTTTATTATTTTAAAACAAAGTTAAATTGTTTTCTTTGTATTTTTATGTATTGCTGCTGATATTATATGAAACTAAAGTGATTAAATGGAAAATCTGAAATATGTGCCAATTATTTAGTCTGATTAATTTATTAACATCAGATTATCGATATTAAAAAAGACATACATCATTATAACAAATTTTAAAGCATTCACTAAAGGAATTTTTGTTTTCTTATTTAGAAATATGAATTATTTATTTTTATATATTCTTAAAAATACTTAAATGAAAACTGTAAAATTTTTAAATGGATTAATCAGTTTATTGGTGGTTGGATGTTTAATGTTAATATCTTTGGATTTATTTAAAATTTAGACCCTGGATAGTCAGGAATCTATTCAGAAAGTTTCAGGGAAACAAGTAATTTTTTTCCTTTTCAACAGTATTTAAACCGGATACATTTCATCTAATTCCTGCTTTAAACAACAAACATCCAACATGCAGAGCCTGAATTTCACTGATATTTGATGCTTTTCACAGCAACATTGATGCAGAACACAAGCAAGAAAACCATGAAATAATGGATTAGAAACAGTTAATGTTAAAATCTGTCCAAACTGTGTAAATATATCATTTAATTGAGCGTAAATGACTTATTTGTTTTGATATTTGCTGCATATTGTGATAAACTCCAGAACATTTGGCGTTGTGTCTGAGCTGTCCTCCATCTTGTTTTGTGCAGACGTTGGCGTCGGCCGCTGGCAGCAGCAGGAGCCTCATTTCCATCTGGGACGTTCAGAGCGCAGCCTGCCGTGGAACCGCCTCCCACCACCAGGGGGCGGTGCAGAGCCTGGCCTTCTCCAGAGACGACCTCTTCTTCCTCTCTGTTGGTTTGTCAAACTCATCAGATTGTGTCTGATCACAAAGTTTAGCTGTAATTATGTGTTTTCTCCTGATATTCTAAATAGTTACTGATTGTTTTGCCGTACAGGAGATTTCTGGGATCCGGTTCTGGCGCTGTGGAGTTCGGAGTCGGTCCAGTTGCTCTGCAGTGTCAGCATGTCTGCGCCGATCCATGACGCGGCCTTCAGCCCCACAGCAGCCAGGCAGTTGGCCTGCGTGGGCAGCGAAGGGATCCACCTCTGCCTCATCCACACACGCTCCTCAAACGCCGACGTCAAGGTGTCAAGGTGCAGTGTGGCGCCGCCGCCAGAGGTGGGCGACGTGGAGCTGACTGCTCTCTGCTACCACATGGACTCCTTCCTGCTAACCAGCACCTCCGGCGGACATGTCTGTGCGTGGGACGTAAACAAGCAGTGCTGCTTCATGGTCTGGAGAGCAGATGAGGGAGAGATTGGTACTAGATGGTTCTGCAGTACCGGGGTCTTCATTTCGTTTTGTCCCTGTTGAGTTGAACAATAGATGTAACTGTTTTGCAGGAGTTCTGGTTTGTCGAGAGAATCGCCTGCTGACGGGCGGCGCCACCGGCCGCCTGCAGTTATGGCAGATTGAAGCGGTTCAGGGGATGAAGTCTGCTGAGACGACCTGCAGCATAAAAGAGTAACGAGATGCTTTTCCTGTCATCTGTCCAGCATTTAATCTGACCTGGAACTGCTCCAGCGTTTCAGTTCATTTTCTATCCAGATGAGAAATGATCCTCTTAACATCTAGTATCTTAGATCTGCTCCATTTTTCTATCATTACAGAAGAATTTCCTTACACAAGTAACTCGATGCGCTCCTGATGGCTGCAGGCAGAAAAACAAAAACTAAACAAACTAAAATACCAGATTTTAGTTTCTTCGGTTTCTACTGCAAATATCTTAGTTCACTTGAAATAAGACAAAACTAACTTAAAAGAAACTTTACAGAACAAAATAAATAATTCCTTAATATTAATAAAAAGTTCTAGTTCCATTGGCACCGTTGCCTAGCAACCCCAGCCAAGCCCAGCCCGTTGCCTAGCAACCCAGTTATTGTTCTGTTGGCAGGTTATTTCACTAATATCAAGACATTTTTCCATGTTTTAAGTGAAGTAATCTGCCAGTGGAACTGGAACTTTTTATCAGTATTAAGAGGAAGCATCCCCACAGCATGATGCTGCCCCCACCATGCTTGACACTTTGTTCAGTGTTTTTCTTCCAAACGTTCGCCTGTTCTCTACATCACTGCTTATTGATGTGTTATTTGAAGCTGTGATAAACGGATTCATGACGTCAGATTTTTTTTGTCAGCATGACCCTGAGTGTGTCGAAGGTCGTGGTGGAGCAGGAGGTCGTCCTGGACGGGAAGCTGGTCAGCGCGGCCTTCGATAACTTCATGGACATGGGCATCGTTGGCACCACGGCGGGAACACTCTGGTACATCAACTGGTCAGACAGCAGCATCATCCGGCTGGTCAGCGGACACAGGGCAAAGGTAACCTTACTGGAAAACTCATAAAGGCGACCCTAACCTGCTTCCTTAAACAGGTTGGGTCTGTGGCCTAAACAAAACATCTTCATCATGTTTTGCACAAAATAATTCTTACATAATGAGATTTTCACTCAGAATGAACTGCTGTTGGCCACGCCCCCCAACTCAATGTTTACACTTAGCCATGAAAATGGCTGCCAACAGATTAGACAGTCACACATCTTTGAAAAGTATTAGTAGAGTCTCCTGCACAACCAACAAGAATGCAGCAAGTGATTTCTGGATGGTAGGTCAACAACAAAACACTTTGTCTTTTCCAGCAGCCAGTGTACCGCGCATACATCTGGAAAACCAGCTGACCAATCATGCTGGAGTTCAGCTTGTGTTGCTAGGTAACGGGGCTGGGCTCGGCTGGGTTAACTTTAACTTTTCGCCAAAATATGGCTGCTTCTTTTAAGCACTTGGATTGTTTTCATAAGCAGGAGAAACTCAAATGGAAAAACTAAAACGAGCAAAAAGTCAGAAGTTGTGGTTGAGGATTCGTGCTGCCAACCCCGACAGGAGCGAACCCCTCTCTCTGTTGATGCTCTGCTCTGCCATTCAGGTCAACGACGTTGTCTTCAGCCGTGATGAGAGCCGCTTCGCCACCTGCAGCCAGGATGGCAGCGTGAGGGTTTGGTCGACCGGCAGCTTCGAGCTGGTGGTCCAGTTCCAGGTCATCAACCAGGTGGGGAACATCAGCGGCTCTGCAGCTGCTGTCAGCTCATTAAATTAACTTTACACAAAATAAAACCAAACAAAATACCACTTTACAAACCAGTCATTTACCACAACAGGCTCATAGAGCAGCCTGCAGTTTCCTGCAGACCAAATACATATACACACATTTATATTTAAATATACACGTATAAACATGAACTACATTTTAAAGCTCACCAAATAAAACACAAAATAATCGTTCGATCATTTCACGCCGATAACTGAAATGCATCCAGATTTAAATTTTTTTCCTCTTAGCAAATTATATTTACTCTCTTAACTTAAATAATTTCTGAATTCCAGAAGGAAAATTTTTGTTCAACATTATTTCCAGTATTTTTATATATAAAATGTCTTGACATTTTGTAAATATACTTTACTAATGTAACTCTTCTGTTTTGTTTGCTTTTGTTTTATGGTTATTTTGTTTCTATATAAACTTTGTTTATTAATTTTATTACATTACGTTCAATAAAGTCAAACCAAATGTTTAGGTATAAAAAGTTTATTAGTTGGTTCACGATACCCCACTTTATTTATCAGCCTGATTGCTTAATAATGTATTTTTGTAACTTAACTGTCAGAGATTCACCTGCAGGAAGAATTAAAACACGCTGATGTGAAACGATGCCTGGACAATAATCAATAATAATATCGTGATAAACTCATGATCAGTATCAATAGATAAAACATCTACTCAGTAGGTCGCTCTCTGGTTGCCTAGCAACAACCTGCTGGGTAAGAAGCAGTTTCAAGTTACCCCAAACTTTGGTTGCCTAGCAACAACCTGCTGGGTAAGAAGCAGTTTCAAGTTACCCCAAACTTTGGTTGCCTAGCAACAACCTGCTGGGTAAGAAGCAGTTTCAAGCTGCTGAGTAACTGGGGCGGTTTCAAGTTTCCCCCTTTTGCCTATTAACTGCTAAGAAATAAAAAACAACGTGGAGAGAAACCTGTGGATAAACACCAGCGGTATTTCAGATATTTAAAACAAAAACCTAATCAGTAATTATTGATATCGACTGATATGAAACACTTTTATGGTGGTAAGTCTTTCAGGCGTATCGTCTAGCCCTGAGTGAACCTTGACCTTTGCCCCTTGTGCTGCTCAGGCTTGCGGCTGTCTGTGCTGGAGTCCGTCGTCCAGCAGCGACGGATTGCGGATCGCTGCCGGCTACGGCGACGGGACGCTCCGGATCTTCCAGCTGGCCTCCACTGAGATGGAGATGAAGCTGCGTCCTCATCAGGACGCCATCACCGCCATCACTTACTCCGCCAGCGGTGAGAAAACGCCGCGTCACGCACACCAACACCGACCTCGACGCAGCGAAGTCCAAACCGTGGCCCAGGGCCTTCTGACACCCTGGACACCGATTCATTTTTGGTCGTATTGAATCGTTCTTGCTTCCGGGAACGAACGGATTCCTTTGTGACGGTTCTGTCTCTCCTTCAGGTCATGTGATCCTCTCAGCAGGAAGTAAGGGTCTGGTCGCCGTCAGCAGCCCAATCAGTGGAGCAACGATTCGAGTCATCAGGGATCATAAAGGAGCAGCGATCAACTCGATCCAGAGCGTCAGCGAACAGGTGTGAACCGAAACCAGACTCACTCCATGATGGATGGATTAAAACACCATCAGGATCAGGATCCTTCAGGATCAGGATCCTTCAGGATCAGGATCCATCAGGTTCAGGATCCTTCAGGATCAGGATCCTTCAGGATCAGGTTCCATCAGGATCAGGTTCCATCAGGATCAGGTTCCATCAGGATCAGGTTCCTTCAGGATCAGGATCCTTCAGGATCAGGTTCCATCAGGATCCATCAGGATCAGGGCCGCAGCTGACCTTTAGTTTAACATTTGTTTCAGTTATTCTCACGTTTAATCAGGTAACCAGATTAAAGATAGATATTTTATTTTATTTCTTAAATAAAATGCAATAAATCTAAAGTATACCAAAGTTAAATCCAACACCAACAGTTCGGTATTTAAACTGTTTGTAACTGATTGGGCTGGAAGAAGCGTTTTGTTTCAGTCAATATCAGTAATTTCTGAGTAGTTTGTTGTTTTTAAATATCTGAAAACTACCAAACTGTATTTCCTGTTTTATTCAGTTTTCTCTCCTCGTCATTTTTTTTTATGGTTTTGAAACTTTAAACTTCTGCTGTGCAACTGACCCAAGAAGTCGTTGCTAGGCAACCAAAGTTTGGGGGAACTTGAAACTGCTGCTTAGTGGCATGTTGTTGCTAGGCAACCAAAGAGTGAGAGAGTGAGTTGAAGCAAATAACCTGCACTGTTATATTGAATGTTAAATATGTTAAATATTCAGATAAATACTAAGTATATCCGATCTATTAGTATTCCTGTGAGTCAATCACAAAATATATTGATGTATTGTCCAGCCCTGTATCTAATATTCAAATTCTATGTAAATATCTGGCATCTTTTTAGACATTTTAAAGTTAAAAATGGTTTAACAAGCAGAGTTAATCTTTAAAAACAGTTTATTTTATCCTGTTTTCATCATGAAGTTTTGGACTATAGCTAAAATCTTGTGGCTCTTTTTCTCTCCGTCCTCAGTGTAAGCGATTTGGACTGGAAGGAAATGAGATGTTTCTGGTGTCCGGCGCCGACAGACGGGTCAGCGTTTGGGCCGCCAACTGGTCCAAGGAGAAGTGTGACCTGCTGGACTGGCTGTCGTTTCCCGCTCCGCCCAGCTCTGAGGTTCGGCTCCTGGTTTTATTTTTACTTTATCTTTTACTGATTCCCAAGGAAACACAAAATGAACAAAGTAACTGATTTTAGTCACATTTTCACATTATTGATGCACCTTATTGAACAAGCAGTGATTAAAAATGGTAAAAAATAACAATCCCAACAATTCGGACAGTTTAATTGTGTTTAAACATTAATTAAAATGTGTAACGATAAACATTTATAACCATAGATGATACGATAAATACCCACCACTAACCTCTGGTTACCATCTGACAAGCTGTTCCTTGGAAAGGATTATTACTCCTTAGACCTTCCCATATTTTTAAAAGTATTAGTTTTAAATCAGCGTTTGGTTTTCATTCTTAGTGTTTATCTGTTTGGAGTCAGCAGTGGCAGGAGGTAGTTTCACATGATCAGGTTGTTATTTTATTTCTCTAGTATAAATGATCCCAATCTGTCTCAACGTGTCAGGAGGACAGTTTGCCGCCCAGCCTGGCTGCTTTCTACCCTGCAGACCCCAGCCTGGTGCTCTACACCGGCTTCGGCCTGGAGAAAGAGCTGTCCTTCTACAGCCTGACCAAAAAACAAGTATCACACTTCACTTCCTGTCTCCTGTTGTTTTCCTCTGTCCAGACTGGGAGGAATAATCGTTAAACCGTTTGTTTTCCTCAGATCATTAAGAAGATTTCGCTGACCCACTGGGCCACGTGCATTAGCCTGTCTCCCAGGGGTCACCTGCTGGCTGTGGGGGCCAAAGGTGAGGACTGGTAACAAAGATGGAAACTCACATTTGGGACTGTTATAATAACTATAGACTAGCTGCAGTAAGACGTCATGCCTCTCCCTGCTGGAGGGCAAAAAGCTGCTGGCTAACGACGACTAGCATTGGTTTTAGCTGTTAAAATGTCAATATAACGCGTTAAATCTTATGCATAATACATAAAAGAAAAAGGGTTGTGGTGCTTTGATACTGTTAACCCTATGAGAACTAAATAACAAGGTCAGGAAAATGTTTTAATTAAGAAAAACATTGCGAGGGAGAGGGAAGGTCAGTTATGCTAGCTTGACTATGAGAACCGTAACATGTAGATGTGCTGTGGAATTCTGTTTCGGTTCAGTTAAAAAATATAAAAAAGGCGACTAAACACCAACTCAGCAGACCAGGTGTTTAAATGAGCCGATCAGTCACCGCTGCGTTCAGACGATCACTAATTAATAACAGTAAAATAAACATCAAGCATGAAAACATGAAACTAACGGACTGAATGTTCTGTTCTTTGTGTGAAACATTTTGGTGTTTTTGATGTTGAATCCTGAAACAATGTGGCGTCAGTTGTTATGGCAACGAGTGTGTAGCGAAAAGCCGACAGAGAGCGAGACAAAGGAAAACGATTAATTGTTTAATCCCTAAGGCCAGAAGTATAATGACTGATTAAAACCAGAAAATGATTACAGTTTTTCTTGGACTTGCTACAAAACATCATTCAGTGTGAACCAGATCTGTTCAATATGAACCAGATGTGAACCAGATCCTGTCAGTGTGAACCAGATGTGAACCAGATCCTGTCAGTGTGAACCAGATGTGAACCAGATCCTGTCAGTGTGAACCAGATCCTCATGTGGCGCCTGTCCTCCCTCAGAGCGGGTCCTGAAGCTGATCAAGGCGACCAGCGGACGGTTCCAGGACTTCCTGCAGCACAGCGACGCTCTGCAGACGTGCCGCTTCTCGCCGTCCGGGTCACTTCTCTTCTCCGTCGCGTACGACGAGGTTCTGCTCTGGGAAGTGCCGGGCCTCTGACCCAACCTCTGTTTCTGTAGATTTATTTATCCGTTTATTGTTCCGGTTTTTATTGTTCCACAGACTTTTTATGAATCTAAATTAGATTTTTATGTGTATAGTTTAAAAATAAAACTTTTTTATGGGAGAGATTCTGCTGTGTGGCTTCTCAGTTTCAGTGTTCGGGTCTTTGGGTTGGAATCAAGGTTTTCATAGAGTCCAGTAGCAATTCATGACATTAAAGCAAATATTCTTTGAGTGAATGTTCCTGCTGAAGCACAATCATCTGTTAAATGCTTTAGAAACTGGGAGCTAGCCATTATTATGAGCCCAAACTGACTGTAACTGCAGCATGTCAGCCGTTTTACAGACGCAGTCTTGCAAATATATTCAGATTTTTTACATTTTATCCCGTTGCAACCATCGACCTAAAGGTGCTTTAAAACTATTTTTTTATTAATTTGTATTTTTTTCCTTTTAAAAAAACAATTTGCATGTTATTTATAACATATATATATATATATATATACTGTCTGATGGCATTGTTGTAAAATTAAAGTCACATTATGATCAGGCAGTTCATACTCTACTTGAGTAGTTCTTTTTCTTTTTACAAATATGTTTTTTAGTCTTACTTGAATAATTTCTTAGTTGGCTACCTTTTGCTTTATTTACTGGTATTGCTACTGTTTTAGTTCAATTTTTGGGTAGTCTCCCTCCTCCAACAGGTCAGAAATCATGTTACACATGTTCCCCTCATGCGCCATATTGGATTGTGGTAACCACTTTGTCCAGCAGGGGTCGCAGTTCTGCACACTCCGCTTCGTGAACCGGAACAGTAAACGGGTTTCACCTTGGGTGAATATCGGCGTGAAAAGGCGCACGTTTGGGTTTATCTTGAAATCTTGACGTTCAAATGAAAGATAAATGTCTGCGTAGCAGCTCGGCCCGGTTAGCGCTTCTTCCCAGAGTGAGGAAACATGAAACAAGACGTCAGGATACTTTTACTGGGGGAACGTAAGTATCCAACTCTGACAGCTACAAGCTACACGGCTAGCAAACATTAGCCGTAGCAGCTAACTAACTTTGGTTGTTCCGGAAGCTGCATCATTTAATATTTCTGAAACGGTTCCACATTTAACGATAAAATTATGCTTTGGCAAATTTGCTGTGTTTCAAGTATTAATTTCCTAAATGGCAGCTTTATGAGTTTTAGCTTCAAAGTTTAAACTGATAAATTAACTGTGCAAACCTTCTGTGCATCTGTATTATAATCACTGAAAACGACAGAGATGAAACAAATCAAATCTTATTCACAAGTTAGTCATAGTTTAATATTCGAACATTTTCTAATTTATCCTACTCATTTCCACATTGCTTTTGGCTTGTTTATACTATTTTAATAACTATACTGTGTAACTTTTCCTATGTTGTAAATTTGCTATTTTTATATTTTTACCTCAGTATGAACGTGCATCGTCTCACTTTATTCTATGTTGACCTGTGATTTAATTTGTGAAAAATAATCTAATTAGACTAACAAAAGTAGGTTATTTTCTAATTCAGATTTTTTCAAAGAACAAAATATAAAATGAATAAAATAAGGGCAAAAGAAACATATTTCCAAATCAACTTTTTTCATAACAAGCAGTTAAATCAATACTTTTACTTAATGTATAAATGTTGGAATATTTATACATTAAATATATAATGTTTACTGTATATTCATTTGACCTACAAATGGTGCAGCAGTCTGGGCAGGATAACAAAGCTGGTGTATGAACAGGAGGTCTCACTTAAACTTAAGCTGCTGGTTTGTATTTGGTGCATTTTGGGATAAAATGTGTTTTTTCTTCATTTAGTGAAGTTATATCAGGCTGGGTAGAGTAGCACTACCTTACAATAATATTATTTAAGTAGAAAAAAAAATCAATGCATCAAAACTTTTCCCATAAATATTTAATTATATTTTACTAAATAGCTGGTTACTACATCAGATCATGTCTTGCTTGTTCTGTTATTTGGGACCCATCGTCCTGCATGCTTTTATATATTACTTTTATCTCCAAAATACAGTGATCTATTTACTCAAGACTTCTATTTTAGAAAAAAACTTTCAGAAAAGTCACTTTAAAACAAACTCTTGGGCTACATATTCTGCTTTCTGCATCAATGCAGTTGAAAATACATTTCAAAAGGATATTCACAGGGACCCGCCATGTTTATTTTATATCATATTGATTCATATTTCTACAATAATGTGAAATTTAAGTTTTTTTTAATGCAATGCTTCACTGTTTCTGCAGCCAAGGTGGGGAAGACGTCCCTCATCATGTCTCTGGTGGGAGAAGAGTTTCCAGAGCAGGTAAGTGTCACTGCTGCCAGAGTTTCACTTTAAAATGCATATTTCTGACAAAAAGCACCTAATTGACTTTCTGTTATGCCCAGTGAACTCCAGTTCATCTTTAAAATGTGTTTCTGGTTATTTTTAATAACTTATTTATTAAATAGTCATAAAAAAACAGAAATTGTAGCCCAGTTGTTGTTTTTAAATATAAATAACTTCAGTTTATTTTGTAAACATATTTTTACTCTAAATGCTTGAAAAATAGCAAAAATAAATCAACTTTTAGTGGTTTTTGCCTCGACTTTCTTCCGTATTGATTTGAGTTTGAATGTCTCTTTGGTTGAATCTTAATGGAATAAATGTGTGAAAAATGTTTGTATTTCCAGTTTTTATTCCCAGTTCTGTTTTCTAACGGTTTTGTTCTTTTGTTCACCCATGAGCCAATTAATCAGTTTCCTATAAGGCTGAAATGATTAATCAATTAATCGTTATTAATGATTAATCATGTTAGTTGTTGACAATTAATTGATTCAAGTTTCCAAACTTTGCCTCAAAACTGCTAAAAAACAAAATGGAGGAAAAACTGGATAAAACAGGAAAATCACAGCAACGGTCTGACTGTATTTCAGATACTTAAAACAAAAAACTAATCAATAATTATCGATATCGACTGATATGAAACACTCATATCATGATACGTTTTCAGCCATGTTGTCCAACTCTACTGTGGACGGAGAACTCTGGCATAACATTATGACCTGAAACATCTATCTGCTTTTATTTTGAAGGTTCCACCCAGAGCCGAGGAGATCACCATCCCGGCCGACGTCACTCCTGAGAAAGTTCCCACTCACATCGTGGATTACTCCGGTACCGGACCAGCAGCATGAGCTGCTGTTAAAATCAAAATTATCATCTGAATGGCAACATTTTAAGTTTTGTTTGGTTTTCTGTTGTTTCCATCAGAAAAGGAACAAAGTGATGAAGTTCTCAGAGATGAAATAGTCAAGGTAAATTCACCGCCATCCATTGATAAATATTGTAAAAACTCATCCAGCGTGTTTCAGTCGACCAATAGAGGAACACGAAGGTTTACAAAGACAAAGTGCAGCAGCAGAAAATGTGTTTTTATGCACTAGAATACAAACAGGAAATTATGCAATTATCCAATCATTAGCTGAGTTTTTATTACCAAAAAACTGTTGATATTCTGCTAATGTCGAAAAAACAAGATTTTGCCATTGTGGTGCTTTCATTAAATAAGAAACGTAATTTAAAATCTTACTTATTTAAGTTTGAGTATTTAAAACAGGTCATCCTGTAACCACTTCCTGTGATCTTCTCTGTCGTTTCCGCCAGTAGTAACATCCATCCGGCTGTTTGAATATTTAGAAAAGAGACATTTTGACTTCAGACTTTTTTTCATTTCAGCCATCAAAACATTTCTCTGTCAGGGAGTTAAAATAAAAAAATTGTTTTCTTTATTATTAACTTTAAGCTACTTTAGTTTTTAGGTTTGTTTAACAAGGTAAAACTGAAAACAGAAACTTTAATTGTTAGTTCAAACTTGTTTTCTGGTGTTAAAGTGACGGTGTGAAAACACGTCAGGAGCAAAAATAACCAAAAAAACACCAACAAAGGTTTTATTTCCCATGTGTCGCATCATGTCGGGTCTCTTCCTGAATCCTGGGCATTTTTAGCATCTTAAACCTCATAAGCCGCCATCTTGTTTTGCCCAACCTCCACAGGCCAACGTAGTGTGTGTGGTGTATGACGTCACCAACGAGGACACGATAGAGAAGGTAACCGCTGGACATCCAGGTTATATCAACCAGCATCACTTCATTCTGCTTATACTTTAATGGCTTCTTGTTTCCAGATTAAAACCAAGTGGATTCCTCTCGTCAACGGAGACGCAGAGAAAGGAAACAAGTATGTGTCACAAAGGGAATTCACTGAACTGAGACTGTTGTTAGGAAAAGGGGCGGAGCTAGAGGGGAACGCCAGGTGATCAACGGGTCGCTACAGCTAGCGCTGAAACATTAGCACTCGAACAGAGTGAAGATGAAGACGGACATGATTTATGGCCGCTGTTTTACAGGATGTGAGATCTCTGTGTCAGGAACGTACTTCCTGTTCAGACTCTTCTTCTGCTGCAGGGTGATTTTAGAGAGAGGGAGGCAATTCTTAATCTGATTAATCATCAGAATTATTGATAAAATAATTCAGATTTAGAAAGAGTTTAAATGTTGTAACTCATTAAGATTCTTCACAGTACTGTAGATGGTGATGGCAGGAAGGATCTCCTGTAGCAGTCTGTATTACAGCGAATCTGAAGAAGCCTCTGACTGAAGACTCTCCCAAGATACTCTGATGAAGAATAAAATAGAATAACATATTATTAAAATAATTGTTAGTTCCAGTTTAATAACGTTTGGTTCTGTTTACCATGTTGGGCCCCTCTGGGCCCCGTTGTATGAACGCCTAGCTCCGCCCCTGGTAAGGAAAATAAATACCTTTAACTGCTGCGATGTTTTGAGTTCCATGTAGAGCATCGTATGAATGTTTCCGCCAAGGTCCGGATCCTTTCTGTTTCTGTAATAACATGATCGTGTCTGCCAGGGTTCCCATCATCCTGGTCGGGAACAAGTCCGACCTGCGCAGTGGGAGCTCCATGGAAACCATTCTTCCCATTATGAACCAGTTCTCTGAGATCGAGACATGCGTTGAGGTGAAGCTGCTCAGTTCCTGCTCCGATATTCTGCTTTAACTTTCACTTTCTGACACCTCCGGTTGTCTCCCA